ACGTGTTGAGCTCCGAATCAATACGCTACGGGGCTACGGGGTGGCTAGGATGGGGGGAGAAAGGTGCGTTTCTCGGGCCCTACAGGCCCCTTGTGGGCCTCCAAGGGCCCCTCTAGGGGCCCCCACGGGCCCCTTTTCTGCAGCCCTCGCTGCGCCCCCTCCCACTTGTCGCCCCCCATGACGCGACGCCCAACGCTCCCCGCACGGGTCGCCGACGGCCGGCGCGTGCGCGGGCGCGGGGTCGCCGCGCTCAGGCGTCTGCCACGCGCGGGGCGCCAGCGCCGAGTGCCTCCTGGTCCTGCGGAGCAGCTTGGAGGAGGACTTCGGCGTTGACTCCTGGAACCTGCGCGCCGCGCCCTCGCGGGAGGCGCCGGTGGTCGGGGCGCTCGGCGTGGGCGAGGGCGTGCGGGTCCTGTCGTGCACGCTCGACGGCGAGTGGTTCAAGGTGGCCGCGGAGCGGCGCGCGCAGGGGCAGGACGTGGTCGCCTTCGCCGCGCGCTTCTTCCGCGACCCCGTGGGCGGCCGCGGCCTGGAGGCATTCGTCAGCGCCTCGGCGCCCGAGCTTAGCGGAGCGGCCGCGGCCACGGGCCGCCTCGAGGGCGGGGAGCTGGTGAAGGCGCTGCTGAGGGACCTCGTGGCGCTGAGGCGGCGGTACGAGCAGCCGCCCCCAGGCGGCCGCGGCGACGGCGAGCGCGCCAGGGTGTCCCGAAGGCTCGAGGACGTGCTGTCGAGGCTCGAGTTCCTGGGTGTCCCCGCCAGCGAGGCCGTGGACGGCGAGGGCCCGATGCTGCTCCTGCTGCTGCTGCGCGCGCGGTCGCTGCCGCACCGGGACTTCGCGAATCCAGAGGCCGTGACTTGCTGGTTGTCCTGCCTGTTTCAGTCCCTCTGGCACTCCGTTGTATTCCACGCGGCCTTCGAGACGTACCTCTCGCCCCCGAGGTGCCAGGCAGGGGCCGGGGAGAAGCTATTGTCGGCGATGCAGGCGACGTGGGCCGCTTACAAGAGGGAGGCCGAGGCCGTCGTGTGCATAGACTCGGACGGGTCAGGCGAGGAGGCCCCCCCGCGGCTCGTTCCCGCCAGGGAGCTCGCCGCGGCGTTCGGCGACGGCTACGGAGACATGTCGGAGGCGCTCGCATCGATCCAGAACGAGCTGTCCGGGTCTCCCAGCCCCGCGGCCAGGGCGGTGGCGGACCTGGTGGCGCTGATCCCCCTGCCCACGCTCGACCAGTGGCCCACGCCTGCCATGGCCTGGCAGCAGGCGGAGGAGTGGCAGCTTGAGTCGACACCGCTGCTGGCCGTCGACCTCAGCCTGCCACAAGTCACGCGGGCGAGCAGCCGCAGGCTGGCCCAGCTATGGTGCCCAGCCGGCGCCGGTGCCAGCGACCTCGGGCCAGACCACCGGCTGGTCGCACTGGTGTGCTACCAGTGGTCGTTCCGGCATTACGTGGCCTTCTGCAGGCGCCAGCGCTCGCCGTCGCGGTGCCTGCTGTTCAACGACCTCCCAGGCCTCACGCGCGGTGCGCCGAGGGAGCTGGAGTGGGACCAGGTTCCCGCGCTCTGCCACCGCCACTCTCTCACCCCGCGGCTCGCGCTCTACGAGTCCCTGGCGGCGGCCGAGCGGCACGCGCGGGGCCTCCTGCGGCGGCCGCACGCCGGACCGCCGGCCAGCGCCGCCGCGGGCGGCGGCGGGCTCCCGTCCCAGGGGCAGGTTGGGGGCGGAGGAGCGGAGCCCGCGCCGCCGCAGCCCTGCCCGGTACAGTGAGTCGAGCCCCGCCGCCTCCTTTCTTCGATTATAGACGCAGGAGTGACCTTTCGCCAGAGTGACCTTTGGCGCGGGCCCAGCGGGGTCCTCCGATCGCTGAGCGCGGAGGGGCAGCAGCGGCTTGCGCGCCCAGGTTTGGCCACCCCGCGTCCGCCGTGAAGCCGCGCACCAAGAGGCGCTCTCGCCTGGGGTCACTCTTGCGTGTGGCCGAGCTTTACCTCCCGCCGCCCAACCAGTACAGCGGGCGGTCGTGGGGGGCGGGCGCGGGCGCGAGGGCCAGGGAGGACGAGGCACGGGGGGAGAGCCTCGCGTGTGGGTCCTGCGTGCTTAGACACACTTTTGTAGTATAGTTGTTGCTCTGCCCCGTTGTCTTTGTTCTTGCTTCATCAGTGCGCGCTGCCCGCGGCAGCACCGCTCGCCGTGGCGCGTCAGTGGAGGCGCGCCGAAAAAATACCCCAGCAAGGATCTCATTAGCAGCTAAGGTGAAGAGGTGGGTCGGTAAGTAAGAGGTCGGCGAGATAAAACGTGCATTCCTGGAGATTCCGATGCGTGGCAAAGGAGCACGGCCATGTGCACCGTGGCGCGTCTTGACAAGGGATCGTGGCCGTATGAAAGGGGTGAAGGCACGGCGATGCCCATCGTCGTGTATTTTCTACCCGTGATCGTGGCCGTGTGACAGGGGTGAGGGCAGCACCGCCGTGTGCACAATAGTGTAATTTGGATCAGAGGTCGTGACCACCAGGACCAAGCATGTAGCCCGAATTGAGGAGCACGATTCCTGCATGAATCGTCAGGAAGTCTCAGGCGAAACGGCTGCCAGCACCAGACTTTCACGATGGGAGGCCACCAGAGACCACCGGAGGCCACGGGACACCACTGGAGACCAAGGCGCCCTGCCAATTCCGGATCCGGCGGTCCCCATATTCGTTTTCTTCGAAGAGAAATGTTGGACCCGTACAGAACTCGTTCAGGGAAACATGTACGCGCGGTGCTTTGCCGCCTCGGCTCGGCTTCGGCCCAGCCTACCCGGCCTGTTTCCAACGTTCCTGCGGCTTTGTGCCGCTGCGTAAGTTCACTGGCTCACTCCCGCGCATACCTGGCGCAGGACGTCGGATTTTGTCAGTGGTGGCCCTGTGGGGCGCCCAGGCAGGTGTGTGGCTGTTGCCTGGGCGGGGACGACTGTGCCCCCAGCTTGCCACCGCTCGCTGCCCACCACCATCGTCCCGCCGTCGCACATAGCGGTTGCAGTGCACCCGCTGGCGGCGGCGGCTCCTCCCCTCCCCACCTCTTTCCTCTGCCCCTGTCGTGCTCACCCCCTCCACAGCGTCCGCGCCATGGCCTGCGCTCCGCGGCCGCTGGTCGCTCCGTTTCGTGTGTTCCAGTGTCGTCACCTCGACACCTACGGGATTTGGCAAGCAGCCCATCGGTTGGGCTGTGTGCCTCGCAGTCGCTGCCGTCGTCAGTTCTGGCATCGTGTTCATTACTTAGGGTCTGCCTGAGAGCCAGCGGCGCCGCTTCAGCGGCAGGCACTTTATTTGTTGGGTTGTGTACCTTGTGCGCGCTGCAGTCAACGGCTCTTCGGCATCGTGATCCTCACCTGGCCTCCTCCCTTGGGAAGTCCAACGCGTTCCCACCAGTTCTTTGCAGCCTGCTACCTTTCCAGCGTCTGCCCCCACGGTCGAGACCGAGCTTGCTCGGGCGACGCTACCGTCGCGCACCTGACATGGCAGCACTGGTTGAAGCCTGAAGCCGCAGCACTCCGCTTCCAGAACTGCATGTTCTGACGGCGGAAATTGTTGGTTTCCTTTTTGTTCTCTCTCTCTCTCTCTCTCTCTCCTCTCTCACTGCGGCCGCTTCTCTCCCCGCTCTCTGGGCTCCCCTGCTCGCAATTCGCTTCGGTGCGGCACAGCGCTCGCTACGAATGACTCGCGCGTCCGCCGAGTCCGTTGCTTCAACAGAATAGCTTGGCGAAAGACCCAATCATGTGCAGCTGGGAATCACGCAGTGTATGACCCCCCTCATAGGTAGCTCGCCGCCTGCGGGAAGGATGATGAGGCACGGGACATGCGGATAAGGCCCTCGAAACGTGTGACAAGTGTGCCGAAATGGGCCGGGGGACGCTTGCGAACGCTGCCACAGGAGTTTTCGGTTGAGCTCACTATAGGGGCCCCAAACCGTGTGAGGGGTGTGCCCACATGGGCTGGGGGGGGGGCGCTTGCGAACCCTGCCATAAGAGACCCCTTCTGGGGCCACAAACGTGTGAGGGGTGTTCCGAAATATTGGCGGGCCCATGCGAACGCTACCACAGGAGCCTACGGTGAAGCTCACTACGGGACCCCAAACCGTGTGAGGGGTGTGCCCACATGGGCTGGGGGAGCGCATGCGAACCTGGCCATAGGAGACCCTTTCTAAGGCCACAAAACGTGTGATGGATGTGCCGAAATATTGGCAGGGCGGGCCCATGCGAACGCTGCCGCAGGAGCTTTCGGTGGAGCTCATTTGGGAGCCCCGAACCGCGTGAGGAATGTGCCGAAATGGGATTGGGGGCGCACGCGAACCCTGCAATATGGAACTTTGGTGGAGCCCGCCTTGTGGAGCCGCCAAACACGTGAGAGGGGTGCCGAAGTATTGGCTGGGAGGGCGCATGCGAACCCTGCCAGAGGAGACTTCGGTGGAGCCCCCGGTTGGGCCACAATACGTGTGAGGGGTGCGTCGACATGTTGCCTGGGGGGCGCATGCGAACGCTGCCGCAGGAGCCTTCGGTGGAGCCCACTATGGGGCCCCCACGTGCGGCGCGGACGCATGCGAACGCTGGAGTTTTCGGAGGAATCCCCTATGCGGCCACGAAATGTGTGAGAGGCGTGCCGATATGGACATGTGCAGGGCAGAGGCACGGATGGGAGGAGGGAGGACGGTCAGCGAGAGGGGAGGAGAAGGATGAGGAGGAGGAGGAGGAGGAGGAGGAGGAGGTGGGACGCAGGGTGCTGTCTTGCCAAACTGAGGACCCAACACCACAGGATGGCTGGGAATGACTGTCCAGTTGCCGGCTGCGCTCTGGGCCGCCCTGCCATGCGAGGGCGGCGCGGCGAGGAAGCTTGTGCTCCGCAGGTCTCCAGTACTGCTGACTCAGCGTCGCCAGTGTTCGGCCTGGGGGGCCATGGAGCCTGCGGGCGGGGCCATGCACCAGAGCGTGGCCTGCGGCGCGCAAAGTTCAGTTTCAACCGATCGCGGCCGTCATCATCACCACCAGGACGTAAAAACTTCAGGAACGGCAAACTAGTACTCTCAGAGGGATGGAGCGAGCTGCGGCCCAAGCTTAGACCCGGGCAGACCCAACCAGTTGTTCGAACGTCGTAACACGTGAGGACCGGGCGATGGCAATAGGCCAAAGCATGAAATTACGAATGATATAATTTGTTTTCTCCATGTTCTATAACCTGCGGTTTATTCTTTGTTGTCAATCCCTCTACCTACTCTGCAATTGTCCCCTCTACATGTGCAAGAGACAGTCGGACAGTTACCCTCCGCAATATACACCCACGTATCCACCATGCGCCTGCGACGTGTTTCCTGCGGAATGATTTCAGCGCCTCATATACAATGATCCTTATTCCCTGCTCTGTATCATAGGTGTCCCCCGAATACTTCTCCCTGTACTCGTTGTCCATGTTACCTCTCAGCGTATACACCTGGTTATATGCGTGACTGTGTACGTGGCACAATGTGTTACATTATACGTATAGATGTATATGTGTACGCGTGCGTCGTTTCCATTGCATGCTGGTATACAATCATACAGATATGTGTATACACATGTACATCCCTGTCTGTGTATTGTATACAGTTTTGTCCTTCTTCGTCTCTTCTAGCTCTCCCTCGCTCTCGTTCGCACTTTCTCGCGCTCTCGATCTTTCTCATTTCATATCTCTCCTCTCCTGGTCCTTCTCCATCCCAGGAACCTGGGAGTCTGGCCGCCTGCCGAGATCGGACACATGTTCGCTAAATCTCTGCAACACGGAGAACCCAGGGCCAGAAGCCTGGGACCCCAGCCGCCTTTGCCGAGGTCCTCCTGCATCGTCGCCCAAGTCTGTCAACCTCCGCCTAAAGCGCGATGTGCGGGCGGCGCGCAGTGCTGGGATGTCGCGCCGCCCGCCCACCGCGGCGTTGCGCGCCAGGCGGAATCGCCACTCGCCCGTCGCGCAAGCCTGGAAGCTCGCGAGGGCGAGGCTGCGGGCCTTGAGGAACGAGGCCGGTCGAGGACTTCTCTCTGACCCGTACCATGAAACGGCCCGCGCCCCAAGGGGCCTCGAGGTCGTCCGCACGACCTTGAGAATGAAGGGCCCAGACATCTTCCGGCATGGTTGTTCCGATTCGCGGCCCCAGGGCCCCCGAGCGCACTCCCTGGGGCCAGATGCTCGACCCGGATCGAAGTTGGATGGCCCTGGGGCCCGACCGCGGGCCTTGCGGGCTGGAGCCGAGGAAGACCACTGGGAGTGAAGAGTCGCACCGTCGGAGATTTTTCGTCGCTCGATGGGGAAAGCTGGGCCCTGGGCTCGTCCGAGGCAAGCCTCGAGGGGGCACCCTGGGTGGCGCCAGCGCGCGTCGCCAAAGGCCCCGATGTCTGCCCGCACAGGGGAGAGAGTAGGTTTCAGGGGGTCCTTGCGGGGTACAGTGGAGACCCATGCCAAGAAACATCCTGCTCGCCTCCGGGTTGCCCTGGGTTTCTTGGGTGTCGATGGTTTTGTTATGGAAAACGTGACGTTCCCACACGGAAAAAAATAAGCCTGGCGAAGGACCGAACCATGTGGGGCCACGAAGCGTGCGAGGGATGTGCCGAAATGGAGGGTGGACCGCATGCGAACCCTGCCACTGGGCCTTCGGTGGAGCTCCCTATAGTGCCGCGAGACATGTGAGGGGTGTGCCAGAATGAGGATGGAACCACATGCGAACCTTGCCACTGGGGCCTTCGGTGGAGCTCCCGGTGGGGCCACGAAACGAGTGAGACATGACGAAACCAGGAGTGGAACAGCATGCGAACCATGCCATTGGGCCTTCGGTGGAGCTCCCTAGGGGGCCACGAAACGTATGAGGGGTTTGCCGACAGGGGGGTGGAACCGCATGCGAACCCTGCCACTGGGGCCTTCGGTGGAGCTTCCTATGAGGCCACGAAGCGTGTGAGGGGTGTGCCAAAATTCTGAGTGGAACCGCATGCGAACCCTGCAACTGGGGCCTTCGGTAGAGCTCCCCTCAGGGCAATGAAACGTGTGAGAGGTTTGCCGAAATTGGTGATGGAACCGCATGCGGTCCTTGCCATCGGGGCCTTCGGTGGAGCTCCCTATGGGGCCACGAAGCGTGAGAGCGGTGTACCAAAAATTCGGAGTGGAACCGCATGCGAACCCTGCAACTGGGGCCTTCGGTAGAGCTCCCCTCAGGGCCATGAAACGTGTGAGGGGTTTGCCGAAATTGGTGATGGAACCGCATGCGGTCCTTGCCATCGGGGACCGCATGCGAACCCTGCAACTGGGGCCTTCGGTGGAGCTCCCTGTGGGGTCACGAAGCGTGTGAGCGATGTGCCAAAATTGGGGTGGAACGGCATGCGAACCCTGCCACTTGGGCCTTCGGTGGAGCTCCCTGTCGGGCCACACAACGTGTGAGGTATGTGCCGAAATGGAGGGTGCAACTGCATGCGGACCCTGTCACTGGGGCCTTTGGTGGAGCTCCCTATGGGGCCACGAACCGTGTGAGGGGTGTGCCGAAATGGAGGTGGAACCGCATACGAACCCTGCCATTGGGGCCTTCGGTGGAGCTCCCTGTGGGCTCACGAAGCGTGTGAGGGGTTTGTCGAAATTGGTGATGGAACCGCATGCGGTCCTTGCCATCGGGGCCTTCGGTGGAGCTTCCTATGGGGTCACGAAGCGTGTGAGCGGTGTGCCGAAATAGAGGTGGAACCGCATGCGAACCTTGCCACTTGGGCCTTCGGTGGAGCTCCTTGTGAGGCCACGAAACGTGCGAGGAGTGTGCCGAAATGGAGGGTGGAACCGCATGCGAACCCTGCAACTGGGGCCTTCGGTGGAGCTCCCTGTGGGGTCACGAAGCGTGTGAGCGGTGTGCCGAAATTGGGGGTGGAACGGCATACGAACCCTGCCACTGGGGCCTTCGGTGGAGCTCCCTATGGGGCCACGAAACGTGTGAGGGGTGTGCCGAAATTGAAGTAGAACGCATGCGAACCCTGCCATTGGGGCCTTCGGCGGAGCTTCCTGTGGGGCCACGAAACGTTTGAGGGATATGCCGAAGTCGGGGTCGAACCGCATACGAACCCTGCCGCTGGGGCCTTCGGTGGGGCTCCCTATAGGGCCACGAAACGTGTGGGGGGCGCAATGGGTGGGAGGAGCGGGAGGGAGGGGGAGGAGGAGGAGAGGAAGGAACGCGGGGCGCTGTCTCTTCAAAACGAGAACCCAATACCAGAGGATGGTTGGGAACACTCGACGTCCTGGGATCTCATGGTTGGGTTTTTTGTGGAAGTTTTCTTGTGGTCTGGCCCCTACTGCGAGCCGCAGAGGCCCTCGGAGCCATGCGTCGTCAACGCGTCGTTCGCGCACTGACTTCCGATTGGGAGGACAGGCCCCGGGGCATTTAGCGCGAGCTTCCCAAACACCCTCGCGTCATGAAAAGGAGAGACAGAAGGCGTTTCGCGGTGTTCGGCCTCCGCGGCTGGGGGCCCTCAAACATGTTTCCTTTTTTGTTACATATCAGAGTCATTCGAAAGGGTTCCAGACCTTTCGGGCTCACGTCAGGAAGAAGAAGAAGAAGAAAAAAAATATCCCGGCAAAGCAACCTAACAGCGATGTGTAGGAGCATATCTGGAAGCATTCTCCTTAAGATTCGGATGAGAATCCAGTTGTAGAATTCTGCTGTTCTCGCAGTCGTAGTCGCATTCGCGATGACAGTCGCAGCGGCAACGGCAGTCGCAGTCACAGCCTCAGCCTCAGCCTGCCTCAGCCTCAGCCTCAGCCTGCCTCAGCCTCAGCCTCCCTGCTTCAGCCTCAGCCTCAGTCAGCCTCAGCCTCAGCCTCAGCCTGCCTCAGCCTCAGCCTGCCTCAGCCTCAGCCTCAGCCTGCCTCTGCCTCAGCCTCAGCCTGCTTCAGCCTCAGCCTCAGTCTGCCTTCAGCCTCGGCCTCAGCCTCAGCCTGCCTCAGCCTCAGCCTGCATCAGCCTCAGCCTCAGCCTGCCTCAGCATCAGCCAGCCTCAGCCTCAGCCTCAGCCTGCCTCAGCCTCAGCCTCAGCCTGCTTCAGCCTCAGCCTCAGTCTGCCTTCAAGCCTCGGCCTCAGCCTCAGCCTGCCTCAGCCTCAGCCTGCATCAGCCTCAGCCTCAGCCTCAGCCTGCCTCAGCCTCAGCCTGCCTCAGCATCAGCCTGCCTCAGCCTCAGCCTCAGCCTGCCTCAGCCTCAGCCTCAGCCTCAGCCTCAGCCTGCTTCAGCCAAAGCCTCAGTCTGCCTTCAGCCTTGGCCTCAGCCTCAGCCTGCCTCAGCCTCAGCCTGCATCAGCCTCAGCCTCAGCCTCAGCCTGCCTCAGCATCAGCCTGCCTCAGCCTCAGCCTGCCTCTGCCTCAGCCTCAGCCTGCTTCAGCCTCAGCCTCAGTCTGCCTTCAGCCTCGGCCTCAGCCTCAGCCTCAGCCTCAGCCCTCAGCCTGCCTCAGCCTCAGCCTCAGCCTGCCTCAGCATTCAAAATGTGGCCCGGGAATGGAGTTCTGGGAACTCGAAGAACACGAAGTGGCCTACAGTTGGCTCCGGGCATTCAAAATCATGCCCAGGAATGGAGTTCTGGGAACTCGAAGACCACGAAGTGGCCTACAGTTGGCTCCGGGCATTCAAAATGTGGCCCGGGAATGGAGTTCTGGGAACTCGAAGAGCACGAAGTGGCCTACAGTTGGCTCCGGGCATCCAAAATGTGGCCCGGGAATGGAGTTCTGGGAAGTCGAAGAGCACGAAGTGGCCTACAGTTGGCTCCGGGCATCCAAAATGTGGCCCGGGAATGGAGTTTTGGGAAGTCGAAGAGCACGAAGTGGCTTACAGTTGGTTCCGGTTATTTAAAATGTGGCCCGGGAATGGAGTTCTGGGAGGTCGAAGAGCACGAAGTGTGCGACTGTCGGCTTAAAACGAGCCCGGCTCTGTTCCTGGCCCTCTTCCCCGGCACCCGCCCAGACCCCCCTGTGGAGTCCAGATGCTCTCTTTTGACCCCACTAGAAACCTATCAGCAAAAGCTGTTAGGTAAAAACGATGTCGGGGGTTCAACTTCGGCGGGCCATTGAGTTCGGGCAGCGCCTAGAAGGGAGTCACCACCTCCTCGTGGAAATCGAGGGCCGAGGAGGGGGGAGGATCGAAGAGGGTTGGGGACGTCTCTGGGCGTCTTGGGGAATCCTAGAGAGGGCTCTGGGGGATCCAGGGGGGGTCCGCTTCCAGAAGGAGATTGCGACCCCTGTGGCCCCCCTTTGGCAGCACCTGGTCGGTCATTGTCGCATGTCGTCCGCGCCACATCGCGCGCTCCAGAAAGGGCCCCGCTCTCGAGGGATCGAAGGCGTCGCCGTTGTCATCCCTGCCGGAGGGCCAGCGGTGCGCGGCGGAAGTACAGTGAGGGCGGCTCCGCTGGCGGAAGTCAAGGATGGCCCTCCAAAGAGATGCCAACATTTTGGGCTCAGGGGTTCTGGATCTTCCCAACCCAGGGATGGAACCCGCCCCCCCCCCAAAACCCTGAGACCCAACATCTTTTGAAATGGGGGATGGGCCTCAGGGTTTCCGGGGGGGGGAGGGGCGGGTTCGGCACCGCCCGTGGTCCGCGCCCTCGCTCCGGTCGGGGAAGACGGGTTTCAGAGGATCTCGGGCTGAAGGTTCGGAGGGCCACGCGGACGTTGCCTACGTGCAGCCACTGCGCATGCCACAAGTCCTTCTTGCACGAGGCCGCAGCCGCGCGGAGCGCGGCGGGCGGCTAACGTCAACCGCGCCAAGCATGTCTTAGCTGGAAACGACGGGATTTCCCTGTTTCCCCACGCGTTGAAAAACAAGTCGGAAATGTTTTTCGTCTTTCTCCGGCGTTTGGGAGCCCTCGCCGGGAGTCGGAATCGACAAGCGACAATGCGGGGCGAAAGGAAGACGGTCTTGGGGAAGTGGTCCAGTGCTCGGGGGGCCCCTTATTGAAAAATCGAGGCAAATCAGAGGGCTGGGGCTTCTTCAGCAGGCCCATGCTGGGTTTGTCTGCGCATGCGCCTCGGCCCTCTGACCTCCTCTCCTCCTCTTCGTCCTCCTCCTCCTCCTGCCCTCCTCCTACTCCTCCTCCTCCTCCTGTTCCTCCTCCTCCTCCTCCTCCTCCTCCTCCTCCTCCTCCTCCTCCTCCAGGTGGCTGCAGTGTGGCATGCACACAGCATTGCCCGAGACTGTACACGCCCCCCAGGCCAGGTCGTTTTCCTGCGACTGGTCGACCAGATACTGCAGACGTTGGGCCTGGTTCTGGCCGCTCTCGTTCACCTGCCTGGCGCAGGCGACTGCGACGGAGGCGCTCGAACGCACGGATTTTCTTGAGAGTGGCTTCAGCCCGATGTATACTGCAGCGACACCACGGATCTACGCCCATGGGAGGTGGCGGTCAGCCTCCGCGCACGAGCTCGGCTGCTCCGAAGGGAAGGTCCAAGAAGGATGGCGCGCGTGAGCCCAGATGGACATGTGCGGCCTCCCGCTTGTGCGGATTCGAGAATAGTTTCGCTTGTAATTATCATTGTTTCCAGTGTGGCCGGGATAGATCTGGCAAGCCGGACCCTTCTTTCAAAGAAAAGCCCGGTGGACAAAAGAGATCATTATCACTTCGGCCTGGCACAGCTGACGACGGAGCTAGGGCTGGCGAAGGCACCCCAACCACCACAGACGAAGTTGGGCAAGCGCGGCGAGCTCCGGGTGCACTGCGGAAGCTGGGGTATTCTGACTCTTCGGCCATCGTGGCACAGGCCAAGGCCGACTTGGCGGCAGCGGAGGGCCAAGTCCAAGCGCACGCCCGAGGACCTCATGCGGCGGTCGCTGGACAGGCAGACCGCCAAGGCTAAAGAGGCTGAGGAGCTGCAGCTCGAGGTGAACGACCTGTCGGCGCAGCTGGAGGAGAAGCGCAGTGCCCTGGCCACCGCGACGACCGAGCTGGAGCAGATCCAGGCTGAAGTGCACGTCGCGCGTGATGCTGAATTTGCCTCGACTGGATCGTCTGGACCCACACTTGTGCCGCATGAATCTCTCGCCAGGCTTCAGACCATCATTGGTGATGTGGAGGCAGCTCTCAGTGCAGGCAACCAGGCAGCTATGTTGTCGGCATTGCGGGAGCAGTTCAAGCAGGTGCAGGATGCGGCTACGCCAGCTGCGTCAACAGCACCACCGATATCGACGCCTCTGCCAGCGACGCCGACACCTGCGCCAGCAACACCAGCAGCAGCAGCACAGCCCACCGAGACGCCGCGGGACCAGATGCTGGAAGCTGATATGGTGCAGGATTGACTTTGACTTCTACGTCGTCATGCCCAGTTTCGTGCAGGACGTAGTTATTTCGATCGGCGAGGTATCCCTCTCTCTGCATTGGGCTCACTACTGGCGACAAATCCTGGGCGCTGCTCAGGTTCGGTCACCACAGTTTTGCCGGAGGACGCAGGTGTTAGAACGCATGTGATCGGCAAGAGGCCATCACGTTCGGACATTCCTGGGTCTACGGCTTCAAATCCTGGGCGCAGCTCAGGTTCTGACGTCACAGTTCTGCCGAGACATACGGGTGCGAGGTCTCGCGTGACTGGCAGGAGGTCATCACCTTCCTCAGCATCCGCGGGCGTAAATCCTGGGTTGCGCCCAGGTTCGGTCGCCACATTTCTGCAGCATTGTGAAGGTGTTAGAACTCATGTGTCTGGCGTGGAGCTGTCACTTCCTGCATATGAGCCTGGATCTGCTGGGCTTCATTCAAAATCATGGATATGCTGGGCTGCCTGCATCTGAGCTTGGATATGCTGGATTTGTTGATGCGACTGCGACACGGACTGCTCATACATCCTGGGCCTCGAGGCGCGCGCCACGTCGGAGCAAGAGGCGAGACGTTCAGTTCTGCACCTACATCGCGAGTGTGCGCATGATAATACGCTCCTTCTTGGAAGAAGGCGCAGCTGGAGCTGACGTCGCGCCCTCGCAGGAGGCGCGGCCACGGGGGGAAGAGCGTCGCCGGGCGGAAGAGTGGCGTGCCAGGGATGGATGGAAGCCCTTCATCACGGACTGCATGCGTGGACCTACGGGCCCCATGATGGTTGGCGCGGGGCTGATCGCTCGGAGCTCCACTCGCACCCCCTAACTGGACAGCGCGCCCTTGATACGTGATCAAGCACTTGTCAATTCGTGGCGCGTGGCTCCCTTTATACACGCTGGCCCCCGCGGCGGTTTCATCGCGGGCTCGCCCCACCCAGAGGAGAGCCCGGGCATCGCCAGTGACAACGTTCAGCGCCTTGAGCGCCCTAGGGAGGTGCTCAGATTTAATCTCGCGCCGCACATTAAAGGGGGCTGCTGGAATGCGCCACCTGCAGTTCTCAGCAAATCTGACTTTGTCGGAAGAGGTGACGGACACCTTGTTCTAGGACCTGAGGGTTCTCATCGAGTGGCGAAGACAGGTGGTCACACTTACGTGGGCTACTGGTTGGCAAGCGACTCGTTGGCCAGTGTTCCGCATCACCCTCGAAGGGCTTATGACTGCTCTCCTCGACCACGCTATCCCACGCTGGGAATGTAGGCGCTAGGTCTCGAGCTCAGCACGCTCGGAAGATTCGAGCGCCCATTCATTTTCCAGTCAAGCCACGTCGAGAGCCACGACTGGGAGATGACAGCGATGAGGAAGACGGAGTCAGGGTCGCTCATGGAGATCTTGGTTTTTCTTGGATTGAAGCCTTGGAAGCAGATGCTGCCCTGGGCCCTGGACCTGCCGAAGGGCGCCAAGACAGGCTGGCCACGTTGCGCGACATGCTCGACCAAGGAGCGGAGCAGGAGTCGACACCTTCACGTGGTCTCGAGTGCGCCGACGAGCACGTCGGCAGAGGAGGCGCCGCCAAGTATCACTATTCGACAGCCGAAGGCGCGCTCGGGCACCATCGCCCTGCTGGCACTGCTGCACCTCGGGCGTTGCTCACGCGCCAGCATTGCCTCGAGGATTTAGCTCACCTTATTCAGAAGTGCGGACACGTGCCTCAAAGACGGCATCATTCGATATGGAGCCCGAACTTGGACTTGGTTGCAGGCAAAGGACACACGCGCAGGCTGGCTGGGGCATTGCCCCAGCACTTGCGCGGGAGGTCGCCCATTTTCTGGCGCGCAGCCTCGCGCAGCCAGGAGTCTTCTGGCCAGGCCACCTTCGACGCCTGGCCGCTGGCCTTGCACGGGAAGCAGGACGTGCCGATGATGGGCTCGGCCAAAAAGAGAAGCCTGGGTTTTGTCAAATGGTTGAGAGATTGTCTCGGGCGTCACCCCCGCCCAGTTCACCTTTGGACTAAAACGAAAGGGCGGGCGCTCTCTCGTGTCCACGCGTCTCTTGGACCGTCGAGTCTCGCGTCGGACGTCGCGGCTGTTCAGAGAGATTTCTGGGGGGCACGCGGCATGGCCACATGGGGCGGTTCCGAGGGGCCGACGGGATGTTTCGGGGAACTGCGCGACGGGCTTCAACGCCTGAGGGGTTCAGGACCACGGCTCCCACCTATGAGCAATCAAGTGCTCCGACAGACTCCTGGGAGCAAAGTCCCCCCACAGATCTACGAAGATGACCTGATTACGCAGATCGTCTCGACTGTCAAGCAAGTCCTCGAGCAACCCATCTTCGCCCTGCAGCAGTCAGCCGACATGTTGCACGACATGGATCTGAAGCCAGCGGAACGAGCGATGACACTTACATGTTCGCGTATGCAATTCGCACACAAGGTCGGTCGTCGAGTCGGTCCTCATGGCTGTCGTGCTGCGTCTGCTCTGGAGGTTCTCGTAGTCGAAGTGGCATCGGGGAGGGCCATTCGGCATCGACGCTTACGTGGGCGATTCGAACAGATGAGCTTGCGCAATGCTAGGTTCAGGAAGATCCGATGTGCGGGCTCGCTACTCGGTCGATTCGCGAAACAAGCTATTCCCGCTGCGCTCTCTAATGGAGTTGGCGCGCATGGGGCCCCCCGCCTTTCGTTCACGCCATGCGACGTGCGATGACGAGTGCCTGGTACGAGCCAGGCAGGCAAGGATTGGTCTGGCTAGGCACCTGTCTGCAGGGTGGTCGATCACAAGATCCCCAGACTCTCGCCGGGACCGACCCCCTGCACCAGTGGGCCGCGTTGCGCTGGGACCCCGACAGGCATGGCACCTTGGAGGCCGCCTGGAGGAAGCAGATCACACCCCTGCACAGCCAGAGGAAGCCCCGGGGACATGTTTTGGGACCTATTGGGGCCACCCTGTTCGCACTACGTGATCTCGGGTGGCACTCGTCGTCGGCTTTCCTCGCTCGCACGGACCTCGGGGATTCCCTGGACCTCGGGGAGGTTACGCCTCAGACAATTCGGGAGCTGGCTATTGCTTCAAGTACTAGGCGCCTGTGGGATAACTGGGCCAGTAGGCCCGACAGGGATCAGGGGCACCTGATGGAACGCAAGGCCCTAGGAGGACACCGTTTGGAACCCGTGCTTTTCCGTCTTGGGGAGGACCCTGGAGGAAGAGGACCCCGCCAAGATTTACATCCTCACAAAACAGCGAGCAGGCACCCGCAGAGCTTTAGTTGTCGGAGGTCTCTGGACACCTGCTCGTTGGCATCACTGCACACGTCGTGATTCACCTGCTCGCGAAGTATGCGACAGTGAGCGAGCTGATCTGTTGAGATACCAAGGACGTGCGATCACACGTTGGAAGGGAGACATAGCGTGTTTGTGTCAGAGGCAGAGCAGAACTCGCTGCTTCCTGTTTCGCCAGCGTCATGGTTTTGGGCACGCGGGCTCATTGCCAAGGACCACCTGCCAGGATTACCGATGAGAAACGATTCAAGGACCCGGCCGGCGCTGCATGGGGACGCGTCGCATGTCACGGGCAAGGTTTTCTTAGACGGCGCCTGCAGGAAGTTCGCTCACTGGGCAGAAGCATCCAGAGCTGGCTGGGGTTTCGCCCAGGTCGGCGACCACACGATTGAGCTAGTGGTTTTCGGCCCGCCCCCACGACCCGTTCAAACCACCCCCCGCGCTGAATTGCACGCCGTCGCGCAGATCTTGCGAGTGGCCATGCTGCCGCCGACGATTGACACAGACTATCTGGACCTCCCCCAAGGGCCCGCACGTGGACCAGAACGAGGCTGTCACCCGCGTCGTCCCATGGCTGATCTATGGTCTGAGATCTGGCGAAAAATCGAAGATCTAGGAGGCTCGTCTAAGGCGCTAGGAATTGCACACTTTTCAGCTCACCAGCGTGGGCAGGGATTCGAAGCCCGAGGGAACAGATGGGCGGATTTTGCGGCTGGCCAGGGCAGAGATGTTCATGATGTCCCGCAGGTGGACGCGAAACGCATTCAAGACACGTTTAAGAAGGCTCGGGAAGCGTTGGTCTGGATGGCTCGGTGCCACACGGCCTACATGGCTGCCACCTCGTCGCCAGGTCAAACGCGTTACTTGGAGAGACGGAGGGCGAGGGATAAACGGCACCGCCTGACACCCGATGTTAGTTTGTTTCGCGCGTTCTGCCTGCATGGGCGGGGGTGGAAATGCGCGCGCGGCAAGGTGGTCATGACCGAAGAGCAGCGCAAGATAACACCGCGTCGCCAGTGTCCTGCGAAGATATGTTTGCGCGAGCGGGCTGCCTTGTTCGCCCAGCGTGTTAGATCCGCTTTTACTCATGTGCCGAGCTGTTCGGTCGCCGCCGACCCGATGCGAGGTGCCGAGGAGTGCTCTGGGGGCCCTGTGGAGACGTCGTCGCCGTCTCTTGTCGTGAGCACCTCGCGTCAGAGGTCTTGCGGGCGCGTGCCCAGGTCTGCGCGTGCTCGCATCCAGCAGGAGGACAGTTCACCGCCGCGCGAAGAGCATGCCAGTGCTAGCACGCAGATGGAGGAGTCGGGGCCTGGAGGCCTTTCTCCTGCTAGCGTTTTGGACTTGGTCCGCGCTCGAGTGGACAGGACTAGGCCTCGAGAGCCCCCGCCCCTTCCTCGGGTCAGGAGAGCTCGTCTCGAAGGCCCAGTGCCATCAGATGGCGGAACCGCTCGAGTCGTCACTCCGGCGAGCCCCGCGCACGGGGCTCTCAACCAGGCCGTGGACAGCTACCAGGCGGGGCCCCGCGCTGCCGCTGCCCCCCTCTTTCTCCTCATCGGTGGCGACGGGCGGCAGCGGGCAGCGGGGACGGAGCCCCCTTCGGAAGTCGCGGCGTCTCGGCGGCACCCGAGGGGGGGGGGGGGCCATCCGCGTCAGCACAGCGCCCGAAACGCATGGAGTTGCATCGAGTGCCGCTCGTGGGCACAAGCTTTATGTCACGCCAGGTGCGGTTGTGATATGTCTCTTGTGCGGGGGGAACTCCACGGGCAAGAACACCCCGTTGAGAGATCAGCGCCCCCCGCCTCCACACTCTAAGCGTGCCATGTCGCACATCCACATGTCTCTGGCTCGTCGGCACCCTGCGGATCAGCACAGGCATGAGGGTCGAACGTGCCTGCGTAAGCTGTAGTTTGCGGACCCTGAGTTGCACCGGTTGCACTTTATATCGTTTGAATTTGATGTGTGAGATCGCCTTACTTTCCTGCGTTCTCATTCCGCGCTTGCGCGCACTCCCCGCCGTGATCCCGTTTCTGCGGGTAGGCCCATGGGGCGTGCGCGGTGCTAGCGTGGGGCCTGGGCCATCGCGTGCAGGCCCGCCGTCAGCGGCCGTTGGCGCTTCGCGCGACGGAATCCTTCAGGCTGCGTGCTCCTCCTCCTCCTCATCCTCCTCCTCCTCCTCCTCCTCATCCTCCTCCTCTTGCTCGCGCTTGGCTGGATGTTGCCGCGCTGAGCATCACACAATCTTCGCGTCAGGCATCATGGCCGCCCGCCCGAACATGCACAGTTGTTTGGCGACTGGCTGGTCTGCCAGCAAGACCTTCGACGCAGTGCCAATTGTGTTCTGCGCTTGGACACGCAGGAAGTCATTATGCGGGGGGCGATCGGTTTCACGTTGTCCCTGTCTGCGTGGCTGAAGTGAGAACCAGCGGTGCGAATTATTGTTGTTGTATTGTGTTGTTGTGTTATATTCTTGTCGCCGTATCGTTCTCGCCCGCGGTCCACTTGCGACCCACGCGCGATTCACCCGGCGAGCCGCCCGCGACCCATCCGCGGCCCACCCATCTTGCTTTGACGAGAGCTTTGCGCTTGTGGCGGGCTCGTTGCACAATGCGTTAAATTTCGGTGATATCGATCTTCGCAAACTGCCAACACCCCCCCCGCCTTCACTCTTGCCCGCAACTGCAAGGGCCGTGGTTGTTCGAGCATTCCGTATGTTCGTGCCCACGCCGTAGAGAAGTAGGGAGTTGTCTTTGCATATCGTACGAATTGTTTCCGGACGATTTTTCTACAAATCGTTCCACACGTATCGAGTGGTTTTCGCCCATGACGTTGCCGAGCCGTGGTTGTAGGTCAGACACTTGTTGGATGTGTCCTGGGATCTCTTGAGAGGCTTCTCGGAAGCCTCTCAGAGACGGTTTTGGGGGTGTCTTGGGGGCCTTTGGGGGGCCTCCTGGGGCTTCCGTGGGTGGGGAGGCCCTTGGGGGCCTGCTCTGGCGGTCTTGGGGGTCATCTTCGGGCGAAGAGCGCGAAATACCAGTTCGAGTTCCACCTCTCGGGCCTCTCTTGGGTCCCTCTTGGATTGCAGTGGGGATAAGCAAGCTCTGAGTTCTCCGTGGCTTGCATATCCCGTGCACTTCTCTTCTTCTGGCCTGGCGGTGCACCGCACCACGCGCACCCTAAGAGCGTGATCGTGCTGCGCGCCTCGCTCGCCGACCCTCACGTGCCACAGCGCACATGGGTCACCGCCGCCCTGCGGCGAGCAGCTGGCAGGCCGCCTGCCATGGGCACGGGCATGCTGCGTGCTGCTCCGCACCTCGAACGGGCTGACCGCTAGGATCGGAGGCGACAATAGGGGCGAATAGCCAGGGTGAGAGTACTACGTGTATCCAGGGGCGCCGATGGTGCATGTCTTCGGCGAGGCTCCCCAGGGGCATACGTGTAATACCCGCCCCTGGGCTATTCGACCTTATCGTCGCCTCCGATGGGAGCGTGCGCGAGCGGTTCTCGGACGGATTTTCGGACGCGCGCGGCCGCTTGGCCCAGCCGCTCCCGAATCGGTCGCTCCAGAGGAGCAGCACGAAGTGAGACTCTCCGCCGTCGGGCGCCTGCTTCTACAGGACGACGAGTAAGTTTCGGAGTCGGGGTTCGAGGTTTTCAGTGGTCTACGTGGGCTCTCGGCGGCTTTCCAGCCTCGGGGTGACCTCGAGCAGCTACGCCTCGCCGAGAGGCGTCCAGGGGTGCCCGGATCATGCCGAACGGCCGCTTGAGACCCGAGTATGGCCCGAGAGCCGGACGATGAAGATCATTGGGGACGGTGGAATGTCACCCCAAAAAGCTTGCCCGCATTCCGCAGCATCCCACGCGGAGCAGCCTGCGCTGTCAGTGTGTCGACGGCGGCCGGCAGCACATCAGCAACAAGCAAAAAAGCATGGCAAGAAGCATTGGGAGGAGAAGTAGCGGGCAACGGATTATGTTACAACATTGTTATTGCGCGCGTGTTGCTCATTGGCCACTCTCCCTCCTCCTCCACCTCCTCCTCCTCTTTTCCCTTCTCATCGTCCCTTCATGTGACCCCCGTACAATGAAACGTCTCAGTAAATCTCTATGGGTAATATCCCCTGCTGTAGCCACACCGGAGCCCCTAAAGCACCCAAGAGCCCCGAGTTATTCTTCCTTTTTCCTTCCCTTCCTTCCCCCTCCTCCTCCTCCTCCTCCTCCTCCTCCTCCTCCTCCTCCTCATCCTCCTCCTCCTCCTCCTCCTCCTCCTCCTCCCCCTCGGGTATCGCGAAGGTCAGAGACTTGTCGCCATATTTCGCCTCCTTCGCCGCGAACTTCAACAAGGTCGCGGCCATCGGCCTGGCCTTGCTCATGGGCATGGAAACTCTACCACACGGAGGCGGCTGGGCGCAGAAAAAAGGAGGAGCAGCAGGAGATGTTGGGTGCATATGTTGCAGTGATGCGGTAGTTCTGGGGCGCCTTAGGGCGGTGTAGGAGGTGTTCGGTGGTTCTTGTCAGGCTTTGAGGTGGTTCGTGAGTGTTTGGGTTGGTCATTGGAGGAAGGGGTGGCCCCCTAGCGATTTTATTGGGGAGGGACATTTGGGTTTGGGGGGAAGCAGGAGAAGTACATCAGCAGGAGAAGGAAGAGAAGAGAGGGAGGGAGGAGGGCAGTGTTTGTCTACGCTTCGATGTTACATCGTTGGCTTCAAAAGTTCTACCAGCAGCGGCGTGGGACGGAGGAGGAGGAGGAGGAGGAGGAGAAGGAGGAGAAGAGGAGAGGAGGAAGGGAGGAGGAGGAGGCAGACGAGGACGAAGACGAGGAGGAGGACGAGGAGAAGGACGAGGACGAGGAGGAGGAGGGGAAGGGGAAGCAGGCAGTGAGGAGGAGCAAAGAGGCCAAGAAGAGAAGGGAAGACAGCATCAGCAGGAGCAGGGGCAGGACTAAGTAGCACAGGGATGAGCTGGAGCAGCACCTACGTTGGCAGAGAGGAAGGAGGAGCACAGGGAGGAGAAAGGAGAGACGAGGAGTCGCAGGGTGATGCGAGAGCAGGGGAAAGAGGAGAAGCAGCAGCAGCAGCAGCAGGATAAGAGAAAGGGGAAGGAGGATGAGAAGGGAAAGGAGGAGGAGGAATCTCTGAGGAGGAGGAGGAGGAAGAAGAAGAAGAGGCACGCTTCCGTCGCCACCGAGGCTGGAGGGTCCTGATGGTCGTGGGGGTGCTCGGAAACATGGCGTCCTTCACCGTGTACAGCTTGTGGCCCAGCCAGCCAGCTCCAGCCATGGCGGACGTCGGCAAGGCAAAGTTTGGAGAGCTCCGCCGCTGCAAGCAGAGCGACAGGGAGGACCCCTGAGGCCGTGGTGCGCACAAGCCCTCCCTCCCAAGCCCCCCCTCCTCACCAACTCAGCCATCCCTCCCAAGCCCTTCCCAAGCCTTCACCACTCCTCCCCTCCCAAGCCCTCCCTCCCAGCCCTCCCTCCCCCCCAGTCCCTCCTTCACCAACTCAGCCATTCCTCCACCTCTTTTCCCAGTACAACCCCCCCCCCCCCTGTCGCACCCCGAGACGTGTCAGTAGAGCGGGCTGGGCGTGTCGCTTGTGACTTCTTCGCCATGCATGACCTTAGAACTTAGAGGCTCGCAAGAGCTTCATGGATGGAGGGTGGGTGAATTTTAAAATGTGGCTCTCGCCCTAGCGCCGCGCACATGCGTTTCAAACGTTTCGCGAGAGCTTCACGGATTGATGGCGGGTGGTTCTCAAATTGTTATCATTTCAGCGCCGAACACACTTGTTTTCTGTTCGCAGGGGGTTTCACGGATGGCGTGCGCGTGGTTTTCACAATGCGAGTTCGGCTTTAGCGCCGCGCCCATTATTTGCAAAAATTCGCCAAATGAAGGGCGCTTATGTTTCGGAATGTGGTGTTAGTTTTAGCGCCGCGCGCAGTCGTCGCTAAAGTTTGCAGAGCATTGCGGATGGATGGCGGACCGTTGTTTCCAAAATGTGGCTATGACCATAGTGTCGTGCACATTCGCCCTAAAAAAGCGCAAAGAGTTTCACCGATGGAGCGCGGGTGGTTTACAAAATGTTGTTCTTGCCGTAGTGCCGCGCACACTCTGTTTAAATTTTCGCAAGGCTTTCACGGATGGAGGGCTGCTCTTGTTTTGAATGCGGTTATCGCTTAAGCGCCGCGAGCATTCGTTTCAAAAGTTCGCAAGAATTTCACGGATGGAGGGCGGGCCGTTTCTTTTCAAACAATGGTTCTCACTTCAGCGCAGCGCAAATTCGTCGCAAAGGTTTGCAAGAGCTTCACGGATGGCGGGCGAGTGGTTTGCAAAAAGGTTGCCTTCGCTTCTGCACCGCGCACATTCGTTTCAAAAGTTTGCCGGGGCCTCACGCATGGAGGACGGTTCCTTTTCAAAATGCGGTTCTCGCTGCAGCGCCGCGCACATTTCGTTTAGAAAATTAGCTTGGCGAAGGACCCAACCATGTGCAGTTGTGAGCACTGCAGTTTTGAATAGCATCTTCGGTGGAGCGCCCTATGGGGGCACGAAACGTGGGAGGGGTGTGCCCAAGTGGGTGGGGGGGGGCGTATGTGGACGGTAGCATTGGTGCATTCGGTGGAGCTCCTTATTGGGCCACGAAGCGTGTGAGGGGTGTGCCGAAATGGGCATGCGGTGGACGGGGAGGACGGATGCGGACGCGGCCATTGGGGCCTTCGGTGGAGCTCCCTATGGGGCCACGAAACGTGCGAGATGTGTGCCGAGATGAGCTGGGGCCTTCGGTGGAGCTTCCGATGGGGCCACGAAAGGTGTGAGGGGTGTGCCGAAAAGGGCATGCGGTGGGCGGGAGGACGCATGCGGACGCGGCCATTGGGGCCTTCGGTGGAGCGCCCGATGGGGGCCACGAAACGTGTGATGGGTGTGCCGAAATGGGCATGCGATGGGCTGGAGGACGCATGCGGACGCGGCCACTGGGGCCTTCGGTGGAGCTCCCTATGGGGCCACGAACCGTGTGAGGGGTGTGCCGACATGGGCATGCGGTGGGCGGGGAGGACGCACGCGGACGCGGCCATTGGGGCCTTCGGTGGAGCGCCCTATGGGGCCACGAGCCAGGTGAGGGATGTGCCGAAATGAGCATGCGGTGGGCGGGGGGGACGCATGCGGACGCGGCCACTGGGGCATCCGGTGGAGATTCTTATTGGGGCACGAACCGTGTGATGGGTGTGCCGAAATGGGCATGCGGTGGGCGGGGAGGACGCATGCGGACGCGGCCACTGGGACCTTCGGTGGAGCGCCCTATGGGGCCACGAACCGTGTGAGGGGTGTGCCGAAATGGGCATGCGGTGCGCGGGGAGGACGCATGCGGACGCGGCCATTTGGGGTTTTCGGTGGAGCGCGCTATGGGGGCCACGAAACGTGTGGTGGGAGTGCCGAAATGGGCATGCGGTGGGCGGGGAGGACGCATGCGGACGCGGCCACTGGGGCCTTCGGTGGAGCTCCCTATGGGGCCACGAACCGTGTGAGGGATGTGCCGAAATGAGCATGCGGTGGGCGGGGAGGACGCATGCGAACGCGGCCACCGGGACCTTCGGTGGAGCGCCCTATGGGGCCACGAACGGTGTGATGGGTGTGCCGAAATGGACATGCGGTGCGCGGGGAGGACGCATGCGGACGCGGCCACTGGGACCTTCGGTGGGGCGCCCTATGGGAGCCACGAACGGTGTGATGGGTGTGCCGAAATGGACATGCGGTGGGCGGGGAGGACGCATGCGGACGCGGCCACTGGAGCTTTCGGTGGAGCTCCCTATGGGGCCACGAACCGTGTGAGGGGTGTGCCGAAATGGGCATGCGGTGGGCGGGGAGGACGCATGCGGACGCGGCCATTGGAGCCTTCGGTGGAGCTCCCTATGGGGCCACGAACCGTGTGAGGGGTGTGCCGAAATGGGCATGCGGTGGGCAGTGGCAAGGAGGGGGAGGAGGGAGGAGGGAACGCGAAGCGCTGTCTCGTCAAAACGAGGACCCAACACCACAGGATGGTTGGGATTTCTAGAACCGGTGAACGGGTTCTTGAGGTTGGCATCCTTGGAACGGTGATCCAGCACAACTCATGATTTTCAGGGCGCAACAGTCGCGTTGATTCGCGGTGTTGGTGTCCCAGGAACGGTGTTCTGGCACGATTCTGGATCGCCAGGGCGCAATAGTAAAGGTGATTCGCGGCGTTAAAGTTCAAGGAGTGGTGTTTGGGCACGATTAAGGATTCTCAGACGGTTGTCTTCCAATGGGGCATTCCCAGCAATAAATCCCCTACAAGACTGCTCGATGCACAAGAATTCGTTCGAGGGGTGGGTCGAAACGTGTGAGGGGTGTGCCGACATGGACCTGAGTACGCATGCGGGCCCTGCCACTGGGGCCTTCGGAGGAGCTTCCTATGGGGCCGCGAAACATGTGAGGGGTGTGCCGCAATGGACCCGAATACGCGTCCGGGCCCTGCCACTGGGGCCTTCGGTGGAACTCCGTTTGGGGCCACGTAAATGGACTCGAGTACGCATGCGGGCCCTGCCACTGGGGCCTTCGGTGGAGCTCCCTGTGGGGCCACGAAACGTAAGGGGTCTGCCGAAATAGACCCGAATACGCATGCGGGCCCTGCAACAGGGGCCTCGGTGGAGCTCCCTATTTGGCCACGAAACGTGTGAGGGGTCTGCCAAACTGGATCCGAGTACGCATGCGGGCCCTGCCACTGAGTCCTCCGGTGGAGCTCCCTAAGGGGCCACGAAACAAACGTGTGAAGTGTGCGTGTGCGTGCTAAACTGGACCCGAGTACACATGCGGGCCCTGCCACTGGTGCCTTTGGTGGAGCTCCCTATGGGGCCACGAAACGTGTGGATGAGGGAGAGGAGAGGAGGAGTGGAGGAGGAGGAGGAGGAGGAGGAGGAGATGGGGCGCGGCGCTGCGAATTCAAAACCAGGACCCAACACACAGGAGGTTCGGCACAAAAATACTGTTGGGGATTAAGAAGGGATAACTTGGAGGGAGGGTTTGTTGCAACATTGTTGATTCGTCCTGAGTTTACACATGTTCTCCATCTCCTCCTCCCGCCCCAGCTTCACTCACGCCTCGTGCAACACCGCGAAGCACTGCGGCACAGGGTAGCAGGTTCAATCCACAACCTTATCGTCCAGGGGCTCGCTATGCAAGGCTTCTTTTTTGTCAGGCCGCTTCCGCTCGTGCGCAGCATGGCAAGGACCGTGGCTTGCACGGCAGGCCGTTTTGAGTCGGCTTGTCGGCTCGAGGACTGCACGGAGTGCCAAATTCGACCGGTAGATGTTCGGGGAGTGCGCGTTCCTTGGCTACTCGCTCGGTAGAGATACTCCTGCGATGCCATCCCTCCCCTCTCTTCTCCTCCCTCGCTCCCTCGCTGCCGCCTCCCTCGTCCCTCTTCCCTCTATCCTCCCTACCCCATCTCTCCTCCCTCCCTCCTGTCTCCACCTCCCAAAACCTTCGACGTCGATACTCTCTCGCAATGGGGTCCCCTTGAGGTCCTGGACAACTTCCCTGGGGCAAGTTTCCCATCTCGAGCCGTTTCTTGACAATCGTGCGGCCCCGTGAAGTGCCCCGAGAAACCGAAACTATCCAAAAACGAGACGTCATGATTTTGTCCCGACGAGAAGAGGAAGGAGGTCCGAGTCCGTTCCCTTGCTCCACCTTCCCCTGATCCTCCTGCTCCTGCTGCTAGCTAGACACGGCCTCGGGAATGTCGTCCGCCGAGCCCGGCGGGAAGCGCGTGGCCGAACCAGGACCCGCCCACGTCGAACTCGTCGGAAGAGTCGGACGAGATCAGCAGCATGAGATAGAAGTCGCGGTCGCCAGCGAGGAGGAGCAGGTCACCGCACTGGGCCGTGAGGGTCGTGGGCGAGGCCGCGCAGCGCTCTCCCCCGCAGCTTGGGTCCTGCGCCAAGGGTGCGACCAGCCCTGCGCCATGGACGCCGCCGTGGGCGAAAGAGGCGGGACGTGGGTGCTGCCGCCAGCTCGGGGCGTCCGCAGAAGGAGAAGCCGTCGTCGTCATCTGGCTTGGCAGGATCGGGGTGCCACGAGCGCCACGAAGGCAGGGGCCTGCAGCAAGCGCCGAGGGTGCTGCACAGCCGGCCCAGCAAGGCCAAGCGGGGCGCGGCCAAACAATAGCAGAAGGAGCACGGGACGAGGGCGTCCAGGATGCGTGCCGAGATGGGGGACGATTGGAAGTGGAAGGAGGGCAGCAAGCACAAGCCGTGGTCGAGGGAGGGGTAGAGCACCATTTCTTCTACGACTGCGAGGGCCAGGCCGCATGTATTTGGAAGCCGTTCGGCGTCGACGGGAAAC